GGGCCATTAAAGGGGGGGGGGGTGGGTTCTTCAAATTCCCCCCCCCCAAAAACCCCCAGGTTTAAGGGGGGTGGATGTCAATTCCAACCCCTCCCCCCCCCGGGGGGGCTTGTCTTTTTTTTTTTTTGGTTCCCTTTCCCTTTCCTTTTTTGGGGGGCCCCCAGGGGTAGGGGGGTTTTTGTTCCGAAAAATGGCCATTTTGGGATTTTTTTTTCTTTGCCCATGGACCATTTCCTCTGGAAAAATTTCCTGGGGGCCCCCCCTCCTTTTTTTACCAGTGGCTTTTTTGCCCCCCCAACGGCTGTGAAATTTTTTTTTCCCTTTTTTTTTCCCCCCCCCCCCCCCCCCCCTCTCTCTCTCTTCCCTCCCCCCTGCCCCACCCATCTCCCTGAGTGAAACCCACCTCTCGATTATTCGAAACCGTCCAATTTCTTCGCTCTCTTCCTCCTTCGCGTGCCGCCCCCACGACCTCCTTCCGCCAACAGACCAAGGACCTGGGAGAGCTCTTCCTGCGGACGGGAGCTTTCACTAAGCGTTGGGCGGCCGGGGAGGCGGGAGAGGCGTCGGAAGGGGCAAGGGTCGACCTTCAAGGATTTCACGATACGTGAGGCATTTTTGTTTTTCCGTCCTTTCAATCAATAGCAAGTAGATCGAAGTAGTTACGCTAGATACAAGATTCCATGCTTGTTACGCGGTATTTGTTGCACGCGTTGATGATCTTCAAGGTTTTTTTTTTTTATGTGTGAGGTGTTTTTTTTACGTCGATTCACTCAAAAAGAGAGTGGATTCAAGCACGAGTGATACTTGTTCGTTCCGCGGTTCTTGTTGTTGCCACGGTCGACCTTGAGGGGGTGCACGACACGTGAGGGGTGTTATTTTGGCGTCGGTTCACCACGAGGATTAGTGCAACAACCACACTCCACGTTTTTTTTTTTGTGTTTTGTTTGTGAGGAGTGTAGTCTTGTGGCATAAAATGTCACATATCTTCTTCTTTCTTTTCTCTTACATCGATTTTGCCGTTACTTCTTACAGTCGTAGGGGTGAAATTAGCTGGCACAGATGGATTATTCAAGACGGAAAATACATTAATTAATACATTGAATAGGGCGGGTGCCCTGTGTTGGGCGGGTGGATCGGTCTCGCGCGTACCCGCCTTATAGAGGGCCTACGACTGTTTGTCATCTCGCGTTGCTGCGGTCTTCCACCGACCACCCTCTTATTGGCCGCTATTGGCTGCATCCAATCAATAAATAACGCTCGTGTCGCAAAGGTCCGATCCGGGTACAGCAGTGGATACGTGGTGCAAGTTCATCTAAAATCGAGCCTTTTGTTTCTCCCTCTTGTCGTGGGTTTGTTGTTGCAGCAACAACAACGGCGGTGGGAGTGAGGACGACCTTCTCTTTGCCGACGGTGAGTGTAGTGTAGTTGTTGTGATGTGCCTCTGGCGGTGGTGCCTTGGGGCTAAGCTGCGGGCTGGTCTCGTGTGGTTGTTGCTGTTGTTTACGATGATGTAAAGCTGCGGTTGTACTACCAGCGACCGAAGACCAGGTGATGCTGCCTCAGGCCGCTGTAGCCGGCGGCGGCAGGCAAACATGTGACTGCTGAAGTGGCGATCGCAGTCTCCGCCACCAGGCGTCGCTGATCGGGATAATGCGGATGGTAGTGGTGGTGGCCGCAGTCCTTGCAGGTGTGGGTAAAAAGCAGTCGTGTGGCAGGCCACCAAGGTCAAACTGGGATCAAGCGCCCGCTTGTGGCTAATGTAATCAGGTAAGGATTGGCCACCATGTAACGAACGTTTGACGTCTGTCCTGTTAACCCCACCTGATCGATCGATCGATTGGTCGATTGGTCGATTGGTCGATTGGTCGGTCTCTCGCAGCCGACGATGGCTACGGCGGCGGCGACGACTTGGACGACGACGACGATGATGACGATGACGGGGGTTTCCAGTTCGGCGGAGGCGGTTTTGAAGCGGGCGGGGGCGACGACAACGGCGGCGGCGGTGGCGGCGGCGGCGGAATCGGGGCGGAGGTTGACGCGGACGGCGTATTTGTCGACAACTTTGAGGGGCAAGGGTTGCTGGCTGCCGGCCGCCGAGTGGAGAAGATCAGCGTAAAGTAAGGGAGAGGATTTTGGGCGGACTCGGGAGCCGTTTTTTGTCGTCTTTTTCACGAAAGACACTTTTCAGTACACCTTTTAATTATGATTTTTTGTCTAAGTCTTTCATTTTTTTCTACCTGATTCCGGATTTATCGAGGCAGGAATATGAGCATATTGCGTGAGCGTCGATCGGAAGGACCTGCCCTCCTTTTTTTCGGTTTCACCTCCTTAACTGTGTTTCTCGATGTGACTGCTACTGCTGCTGCTGCTACCGCTGCTGCTGCTGCTGCTGCTGCTGCTGCTGCTTCTGCCGCTGTCAGCTACGCGAAGAAGGCGAAAAGGGTGGACGTCCGGCGCCTCAAGGGGGACCTGTGGCGCAAGATCAACACGGAGTTCCAGTCGGACGCGGCGGTGGTGGACGTTGATGGGGGTGAGGGGGGTGGAGGGGCCGAGAACCCTTCGGAGGGGGAGGAGGAGGTGAGGAGGAGATTGGCGAGCTTGTTTTGGACACGTTTTCAGAGGTGGTTGTGGGGGTTGATTTGATTTTTTGGGGCTTGTGTTTGGACACTTTTACAGCGGCGGTTGGTTGTGCTGGGGTTGATCGTGGTGGCGGAGAGTGTCTAATCACCTGCCTGGTAGACGTCTCCACGGGATCGCAATGGACGGATGACAAAAGGAGGGTACAGCTACGTCTTCGGTCCTGGTGAAGGAGATAAAGAAGTGTGACATTCTGACTCAAACGGCACGTGGAGTTTGGCCCATCGTCGAAGCAGGCACGAGTGGTTGCTCCACGAGAGGCTGCCTTTCATGCCTCTAGTCGCTGGTAGAGGGCGGCGGTGTTTCGCCGTGTGAGTTTTTCTCTCAGCCGGGAATGTTTGCCAAAAGTTTTTGATACCTGGGGGGCCACGCGTTGTCGTTGCGACCGTCAAATCAGCCTGTGCGCGTTGGTTCGCCCATGAGCTGTGAAGTTTTAAGTTTTCGATGGGCGTGCGTGTCAGCGTGGTGCAAAACCCGGCACTGTCGCACACGCTCGTCGCCGACATCGTGTGGCGTGACTTTGATCGGTTGGTGTGACTTTAGTTTATCAGTGCCGGTGGGTGCGTCGGAAGATGCTGCCTTCCCCCGTTGTTGTTTCTGTAGGCGTGTATGGTTTCGCCGATCGAACGTGCCGGCCAACGCATTTTTTCAGCCGCGTCGATCGTGCGCACGGGATACGGTGGCACACGTGGGCATGGGTATCGCTCTACGCCACTCCTGAGTTTGTTCTGTTCGTGTTCGCGGCCTTTCTTTTGGGTTTACAGCAGTCGCAGGCCCTCTACTATGAGGCGGGAATGTATGCGCCAGACCGTTCACCCGCTCTATAGCGGGCACCCGAACTATTCAATGTGTAAACCGTCTTGGCTATCCCGTCTGTGCCAGCCAATTTCACCCGGCCTGTAGCGGGCACCTGCCTTGTATGTAGAGGGCCTACGACTGCTGTATCCATTCTGTGCGCCAGTCTTACGCCTTTTGGGCATAACGTAGGCGACATGACATGACGCAAGATAGCACACCCCCTGGACCAATTTACAAAGCTCGGATCACTCCCCAACAGAAAGAGTGGCGTTGGTGGCATTGGCTTCGTCTCGTCGAGAGCTTTTTTTCCGATGACATATTGTTTGAGTTTGACGTCCCCTTCGTCGTGGAGTAATCGAGCTTTGAAAATCGGTCCCCGGGGTGTGCAAGCTTACGTCATGCCTCCCGCTATTTTCGCCGGGGTCTCGCGGGGAGAAGGCAAACACTGGATTTTTTTCATCTTTTCTCCACCTTTTCCCCTGCCGTGTGGTTGTAATTCCAGTAGATACAAATTAGGACCGTCTCATTCAGCAGTTATTTTGCTTCGAAATTGCCTGGAAAATTCCAGAAATTCCTCCGCCGCAAGCGAAGGTTGTAGGGCCTACGGATTTGGAACAAGTTAGCGGCTGGAGAATAAAATAGCAGCAAGAAGGTGTTCGACCACAAACCTGTTTTGTGTGTGTTCGCGAAAATGTTTCGGGGCAGGTGGAGAACAAGGATGTCGAGTCGAAGTCGCCGGCAGATGGTGGCGACAAAGGGGAGGAGGAAGCGGAGGACGTGGTCAAGCCGGCTCCTGAGGTGGTGGACATGACCTTCTCCAACATCGTTTGCGACGTGGCCTCGAAAGTGCGTGAGACTCTCGAGTGCTGTTCCGAAGGGCGTCGTGTGCATCGCGTTCGATGATGATGTCGAGATTGCTCTCGGACGACAAGAAACAAGCAAAACGATGATGCCGAGCGCAATGACCACAGGATGTCCCTCTTTTACTCCCCCCTCCCCCTCTCCCCCCCTCCCCCCCCGCCTGATCCAGTGAGAGCCCGGCGTGCTCCGTCCCGGCTTTGTAGGGATGCGA